AAATAAATCATCTTATTTTTTATTGAAATTAATTGTATTATTAATCAATCTGGCATTTATAAATCGAGGCATATGTGAGGTGACAATCGAGATTAAATAATTAGTCGATCGCTTTACATGAAGCCTCACGATTATTTTTATTCCTTACACTTTAAATTAATTCACTGCTCATTTCTTGAAAATTAGATCAGAAATGCAGGTTGGCGCAGTGTCCGTTCGTTTCGGTCTCATATTGGAAGCATATTGCAGAGGAAGCCAACAGCACATGTTATCGTTATTTAAACAGATGAAGTGCTTGGAGAAACTGAGGAGTGTTTCGCAGCAAGTGAAGCAGAAGAAGGATCGTAAGACCGCCCTTCAGGGCTTTCAGGACATCATCCTGGAACCACACTGCCAGGAGGCGATATCCGATGTCCTTAATCCCCTTGATCCGAGTTTTAGATGGAATCACATCAAGTGAGTTTACTATTTTTATTTGTTGAATATGTTATTTTTTATAATACATTTCCTACATCATCTTGTTTTCGTTTTATCAGAATCGAAAAATGCCGATTAATGGACAGCAAAATGCGTCCGCTCTGGTTAGTTTTCGAGAATAGTGATCCTTTTGGCGAAGATATTTACTTAATTCTCAAACACGGAGATGACTTGAGACAAGACATGTTAACACTCCAGATGCTACGTATTATGGACAAGCTCTGGAAGAAAGAGGGTTTGGATTTACGTATGAATCCATATGGTTGCATATCTACGGAGAACAGAGTCGGGATGATAGAGGTGGTGCTAAATGCGGAAACAATTGCGAACATTCAGAAGGAAAAGGGCACATTTTCTGCAACGGCGGCCTTCAGGTGAGTAGTGAAAATATAAAATATAATTGACGATATAATTCAACAAATATATGTCAGTGAGATTTCTTCACAATTTCTTTGTATTTACAGGAGAGGTTCCTTATTAGCTTGGTTGAAGGATCACAATCACACGGAAGCGGCGTTGAACAAAGCGATCGAGGAATTTACTTTAAGTTGCGCGGGTTATTGCGTAGCGACATATGTTTTAGGGATAGCCGATAGACATTCTGACAATATAATGGTTAAGAAGACTGGACAACTGTTTCATGTCGATTTTGGTCACATTTTGGGTCACTTTAAGGAGAAATTCGGATTCAGACGTGAACGAGTACCCTTCGTTCTGACCAATGATTTCGTACATGTCATAAATAAAGGTCAAACGAAGAAAGGGCACGCTGCCGAGTTTCAAAGATTTCAGAATCATTGCGAGCAAGCCTTTTTAGTTCTGCGCCAACATGGAGGACTTATATTGTCTCTGTTTGCTATGATGATATCTACCGGCCTGCCTGAACTCTCGTCGGAGAAAGATCTGAATTATCTTAGAGATACTTTGGTACAGTAGCCATTAAATTATACATTAATATATCCAATTAAGTATAATGAGTACATTCAAATGCATTTAAATACGTTTACAGGTACTAGAAATGTCCGAAGGCGAGGCACAAAAGCATTTTAGGAGCAAATTCGACGAGGCTCTCTGCAATTCGTGGAAAACATCGTTGAATTGGGCGTCGCATAATATGTCCAAGAACAATAAGACTACATGAATAGCAACAATTATCAATAATGTGAGAGATTCTACGCATCTAAAAATACTGTCACATGACGTCATCGAACGTTACATCACATTACAAAATGTAATGTTAAGACGTTGTGACACATCTGACAAGCACATCGCATTTGGCTGTTTGTCAGAGATTGGAGGATTGCAAAAAAATAAAGCTGTCGTTTCTGACAGATGTCGTCAGGATTGAAAATCGACGACCGTAACCAGTATTTGAGACTGCATAAAACGATCATTGCTGCTGATATCAGCGAACACGTACTATCGAATGATGATTTAGTAAAATGATTTCTCGAGACTTGGATACATTCGTACTGTTTTAGAGCTCTACTTTGTGCAGCACAAGCAGTGTCTATGTTCAATATGATAGTACTTTTCTTAACTAAGGACGATAGTAATTAAACAAGAAATCTTCTCTTTGATTAAAAATTAATTTAAAACATTTGGAATTCCATCGATTGATTTTAAATCTTAATTTGTTAAAGTCTAAGATTATCTTCATTTTGTTAGATAATTAAACCTTATTAAGATGGATATCATTCTAAAATCAACATTTATCACGAAAGCTTGTGATGATATACATGAGAATGTTACTTGCAACAATAAACCGCCAAATATCTCTACTCGTTAACATAAAAAAGCCGATCTTATTTTAACACGAAATAGACATTTGCTATACTCGATTTATCACAAATATAATACGGAAATATACGGCATACGCCATACGCCGCAACGTTTAATTAAAACAGGATTGTTAGCGGAAAATCTGGGAAAGCTGGGAAAAGTTAAGAGAATTAAAAATAAAAAAAAAATAGAAGGTCAAAAAAAATCGGGGGAATCGGGAAAAATCAGGGAATCAAGGAATTTATTAACCTAAGATAAAAATAAATTACTGTTATACCAATTCTAATTTTTAAATTTTGCTTTTTAAAAATGATTAAATAAAATTTAAAAAATTTTTTTAAAGCATTGTAAATATTTTTTTAGAATTTTTAATTTTGCAGTTAGCATATTTGTAAAGTTATTAACGCACATTGTTAAAAAGAAAAAAATCTTGTAAAAGTCAAAATATACATGTATTAATGACATTTCTAATATTAAAATTAATTAAAATGATAATTAGGTAGTGTTTAGTGGGATGATTAAATCTCTATAAGAGAGCAATGTGCAAAATAAAGATAAAATATACTGTTTTCTGTAAAATTTCATTTGTTTTTTGACTCGTAGTCATGTTGTAAGTCGTATCGTATTGTTATTTATATTTGCAACTTGTTTCTTAAGGTAAATAATTCTTTGATTTATATGTATTATAATTACGATCTCTTTAAAGAAAAGTGCACGTAATACACAAAATATATAATCTAATACATGATAAAGAGTATACATATATACATTAAAAAAGTTTATGATATAATTGCAGATTATAAATATATTATGAAAAATCTTTATGTTTATGGCCGGTTTTTAACGTGACAGGAAATATTTTTCATTGATTTGCAATTAATCATTGTTCATGTCTGTGTTTTTTTTTTGTCACAAATTAATTTAGTATCGCTATAGCAAAGAGACCCATTTTAAAAAATCTTCGTTGTCAACCAAGTTTAAATATATTGGTCTTCTAGAATCACTTTATTCAGAGTTTCTTTCAGACTTTATAGTCAGAATTTTTTTAAAGGTAATTGGGAAAATCGGAAAATATTAGAAAATTTTCTTCTGTTTCGCTAACAATCCTGTAAAAAGAGCGAAAGGTTTCGATGATCATTTAGATAACAGATGATGACGGTTTATTCCGTACCACTGGCAATGACAGTGTGATAATTAAAAGCAATATCTATTTTGCGAAATTGCCCAAAACGATACCAATAAAGGTGTTACGACCAAAACGATCAATTTAGGATGATCTCAATTGAAATAATCGAATGTTACAATTCGATGCCTATTGCAAAAAATTTGAGCGGTTGTACGCACGTGCGAAAAATCAAATTTTATAATGCAAATAAATATTGATTGCGATTTCCAAAATCGTTCTTTGAGATCCTTTTTTTTGGTGGATTGTATCCAGAGATTGTTAAAAGTCTCACAAATTAATTGGTTCTAGAACGTTATACTTTTTCGTTCTTTATTTGAGATCTTGCCAAGTGACTAGTTGATATGATGACTTCAAAATTTTTATATTTATTGTTATTTTTGAAAAAATTAATGAGTATCTGAAACTATTTGGAATTTTTCATATAAGCACAAAGGACTATCTTTAAACAAATCGTATTTCAAAAGCGCGTTTGTACTTCTCCAGTCCTCCTCTTGTTAGTAAAGATCGAAATAGGTTTTGCAAACTTACAGTCAATATAATTACACTGAGTGCGTGCGAAAATTTTCTAAAGATTACGTAAGTATTGGTCGGAGACAGTTTTCTATAATTTCTTAGGAATTTTCTAGGAGTAATTAGATCTTATAAGAATATAACGTTGGTTTAAAGTTAAGTTTTAAGAAATACAAATAGCGCGATTTTTAAGATTTTGATGTCAAATATAATCGCAAACGCCGTGTCACTGACACAATTAAACCCACGTAACTTTTGGAACATAGTTATTTGTATTGTAAAATTTGATTCATCGCACATACAATCGCGCCTGAAACTCGCACTGGTTATTGTATTGTACAATCGCGCCTTAGACTTGCACTGGTTATTGTATTGTAAATACCACACACATATGTTAATGAGTCAAACAAGTAGATTTGAAATAACCAAGTGTTTCCTTTAAATACGATTGTGCGAAGACTTGCGGATTAATTATCGATTTGCGTAAGAGTGCGCTCTGCCGAAGATATTTTCTTACTTGACTTTTACGTTCACGTTCAAAAGTTCAATCTCGTTTAAATGATGATATATTTCGTGCTGATGACTCGTAAAACTTCTTAGTTATTGTCACACGTGATATCGTGTCTAAAATAATGGAAAAAAAAAACACTATGAGAGATATATATTTTGATATATATAAATATACCGCAATATATATTATTATTATCCACATTAGCTATATATAATTACATCAATAGGGCCATTCATACTTCAGCGCTGTCTTACGTAATAGACCGCTACGCTTTCTAAAACGGCTCTAAAACGCACGACCGTACGCGCGCTCTCCACAATGTAAGGTAAAATAATGATCTCTAATACATTAGGAAAAAAATAAATAATGTTGCAGACTGCGTCAATGCTGCATATCCATATCACCATCCTCTTATTACTTACTAGCACATTATATTTAAATTTTAAATTGTCGAGAAACGTACAAGGAAAAAGAACTTTATACGCATAATAAATATACATATATATATATATATATATATATCTTGAAGCCTCTTGATTTTATTTCTCAGTGCTGCTTTTGATTTCTTTATAGACAGATTTATGCGGATTTGATCCGACAAAGCGTATATAGGTACTGTAAATATGCAGTATACGGTAACGTATTGGATATGGAGAGGGGCATACATTCGTTCCTCGAACCAATCTCCACACGCGTATTTGTCGTGTATGTTCTTTCACATTGTACGCAGGTGTACGTCTGTACGCATCCGCGATACCGTAATCCCGGGGAAAGAAGCCGGCTTGCTCTTCGAACATATTTTCTGTTATATCTCGAACAACAATCATTCGTATAAATCGGCTATTTTTTCTATCGTCTCACAACAAAATATTTCTCGTATCAAAACATGTTATTTCGTACGAAACGTGAATAGATCTTCTGTATTAGTCTCAGTGTCTCTTGTAAATAAAACCAACTCTGAAGCCTGAATGTCCTTGATTACAACCGATCTTTGGAGAATTACTGCGTTATGCGAATTACTGTGGAATACGTAAAAGCGTTCTATTTATTAACAGATAAGAGACTCGTATTTTAATCAGTGTACTTGTCGGTGCGTCGGAGGAAAGTCGTATAAAAATGACGGCTACCGAAGAAACAGAACCATTGATATCTACGACATCTTCTGTTAATAAGATTCAAAGAGTCACTTATCGTACAATTTCCTTCGTAAGTAAGATACTTATATGATATAATTATCACGTTCTGTGTCAATGCGGTACATCGAGAAATAGCGAGTCGATGTAGCGATTGTGTGACAAATAATTTTTAGTTGGAGCGTTTTTGCGTATTTTAAAAAAATTTATTTTACGCGTACATTTTATTCTCGTACTCGTGACAGCTCTTTTAAACTCAGCCTAGACGATTTTCATGCCTATGGCTTCATCAGCTTCGATTATCTGATGGATGTAATTAGGTACTTTTTTTTTCTTTTAACAAAAGTTGACACTAAAGTTGAGATTCATTCAATATTCGAAAATAATAGAACTTTGATAAATTAATTTTTAATGTTAGAAAATTAAAAAAGGCATAATAACGATAAATTTCTTGATATTTTTATTCAAAAATTTTGTTTTAAAATTGGCAAGAAATACGTAAAAAATATTCGATAGCTTGTATGAAATTCTGATGAAAGATTTCTTTAGAATGCTATAACTTTTCTATAAATTTTATAACTTTTTGAAAAATTTTCAGATTTTCTTATATGAATTAATTGGAATTACTTCAGAAATGCTGAGAAAATATCTGCATTTTTAAAATAACATTTTTTTCTAGCGAAAATTTTTCTAAGGTTTCCTCATATAATTTTTCGAAATTTCTGTATAATTTTATAATATTTTAGAAAATTTCTCAGATTTTTCGAATTGAAACACTTCGGAAATGCTAAGAAAGTTAATATCTTTTCTAAAATTGTTTATATACGTGAGTTCTAAAATATTCTAAAATTTTTCATTGGAAAATCTAATGAAAAATGGTGCGATTCGGTTTCGACAACTTTATTCTATATGGCCTAAATATATATAAATTGTGAATTCTAAATATTTTAAGATTTCTCATTCTATCATTTCCGAAGAAAACTTATAAAATCAAAAGAAGTTTAAGATCTTTTTTTAGAAGTCTTCATAAAATATGAAAAAGTTTTAAAAATATTATAATATAAAAATTTTTTTCCACTAGAGAATACTTTATACACAATGGAAAGAATACATAAAGTAAAGATGTACATTATTATTTCTCTTCAACAAAATCAAAGAGGAAAATACGTTTTACAATCATTATAGGAAGATGAAGGAAATACATTGGACAGAAACTCTGAGAACTCGTTTGATCTTAAGCCGATTTCGAGCTTGTCGACAACCGCAGATTTTAACAATGAAAATTTTGACAACAATATTACGTATATGTGGAGCAATTTGAATGTGTATTGCAGCGTGAAAAATGACAGAATTTGGGATCGGCTGATGTTCAGGTCCAGAAAATTCGTTGCGCAAAAGCACATATTAAAAGATGGTAAAATAAAACGAAAAAACAAAAAAACAACTTTTCGTCTATTTTTTGTACATTTAACAATTTTGCAAAATACATTCTAGTCATTATTCTAGTCTTTATTTTGTTCTGAAATATCATTCTAGCATACGGAGTAGCTTACCCCGGTGAACTGCTCGTAATTATGGGTGCGTCAGGCGCAGGCAAGACGACTTTATTGAACGCACTGACGTTTCGTTTAGCAAACGGACTGTCTGCATCCGGTCTGATGGCCGCCAATGGCCAAAGAATATCACCGGGCGTTCTTACCTCAAGGATGGCTTATGTGCAACAAAACGATCTGTTTGTTGGCACGCTCACCGTGACGGAACACCTAATGTTCCAAGCGGCAGTGCGAATGGATCGGCAAATCCCTCGTAATCAGAGAATTAAGCGAGTTAATGAAGTCATTAATGAAGTAATTTGATCGTGTTGTCAAATATATCATCACATATCTTTACTATATTGCAAGCGAGAAAATTCAAAATTTTTCTCTTAATAATTGTACTATTAATATTTAATAGTACGAACAATTATCAAGAGAAAAATTTTATAATGTTTAATAATTAATACTTAATATTTAGTAATTAATATTTAAATATTAAATTAATAAACCGAAATCGACTAATCACGGTCGAATGTGAGAAGAGTAATCGACATTAATTTCTTATGGCTTATAAGATTTAAAACTATAAGATTTAAACTTAGATAATGATTTATTTAGGAAAACTCATAAGTTAAAGAACACACGACAGAAAAACATTTTGAGTATGTTTTTAATTTAAAATATGATCTTTTGCAATCAATATACCGCTCTGCTTAAGTTTTTAATTTTTGCTATTGAGAGTTCTCATTTTTTACAATCGTTTTTAATTGATTTATTACAGCAGTTTCAATTTATAAAGTATCATCGAATTACTAAAGAAAATGTAACTTTACATCCGGTCTTCTCATCCGACTTGTCTTCCCCTACTTAATTCTTGTCTCCGAAACTATTGAAAAACTAAAGATTTGATATTCCAGAAATCAAGCTGCTGTAACCAAATAATTAAAGACATTTATAAAGAGAACAATTATTCAATTGATGATGCAAAAATTGAAAAAGAAAATAGATCAGAGCAATGTATATTAATAACATATTTTTTATTTTATACGATTATTGTCTCAAAATTTATGGACAACTTGTATTTAATGGCGTCCCTTTTGAAAGTAGCTCGCTCTGTCGAAATGCCGAAACACAGTGATTGGAATACCCGGTAGAAAAAAGGGACTCTCGGGAGGCGAGATGAAGAGATTGTCTTTCGCTTCCGAGGTACTGACCGACCCTCCATTGATGTTATGCGATGAGCCAACGTCGGGTTTGGATTCCTTCATGGCTCATCAGGTTGTTTCCATTCTGAAAGCATTGGCGGGTGAGTTTGTGCCGATCCTTATTATATAGCAAAGCTATTCTGCATTGAAAAAATTAATAAATAGACAATTCAACAGCACGTGGTAAAACGATCATCGTCACTTTACATCAACCGTCTTCGGAGCTGTTCGCTCTGTTTGACAAGATTCTGCTGATGGCCGAGGGAAGAGTCGCTTTTATGGGTACAGCTGCGCAAGCTTGTACTTTCTTCAAGACGTAAGTCTAATCCAAGGATTGAATAGTTCATTTTTAAGCCGTTTTAAATTCACATTTTGTTGCAGACTCGGAGCTGCCTGTCCCAGCAATCACAACCCTGCTGACTTCTTTGTGCAAGTGTTAGCTGTGGTACCGGGACGCGAGCAAACTTGTAAACACGCGATCGAAATGACATGCGATACCTTCCGGAGAAGCGAATACGGTGCAAATATCATTCTGAAGGCTGAGGCCGTTCATGACGAATTCGAAGATACTCTCAGATGGTTCAATCATTCCAAGAATTCCAGCCGATCGGTTTACAAAGCCAGCTGGTGTGAACAATTCCGTGCGGTTCTATGGCGATCTTGGCTATCGGTGATTAAAGAACCGATCCTCATTAAAGTCCGCTTCCTGCAGACTATCGTACGTTTCCCTCCAATATTAAATCTATTTGCAAATTTAATCCTCTTTACGCTCATTGACGCACTACTTATTTGCGCGAATAATCGTTGACAAGTATAAAAGATAACAAAGACAGTTACGAAAAAACGAATTTAAATTTTTTGCTACAGATGATCTCGTTGTTGATCGGCATCATTTACTTCGGTCAGCGAATAGATCAGGACGGTGTGATGAACATCAATGGCGCCCTATTTATCTTCCTTACCAATATGACTTTCCAAAATGTCTTCGCAGTCATTAACGTGAGACTTTAAGACGTAATAAATCATTGAATTGATATTTGTAATTCCGTGACGGTGACTGAAAACAATATGAAAACTGCAAAATTAGTATTCTATTAATGTGAATTTCTACCACTCTCTGTAAATTAAATTTAATCTCGGTTTAATTTATTCTTTATCTCTTTCTAATTCTTACTAGAATATCATTCATGTATCCATTTTTACCAATGTAGATTAATTTTAATCTCGATTTAATTCTCTCTTATCATCTTTTTTTAATTCTTAAGACTAGGAAAAGATAAAAAATAAATTAAACTGAGATTAAAATAATCTACATTGGCGGAAATAAACATCAGAGAAAAATGTTGCACCTTTTTCTAATTTTAATAGTAATTCTAATAATTCAAGTTAATAATAGTTCTTTTATACTTATTGTGCGAAGAAAACATAGTGAAAACACCTATATAGATGACAACTATACAAGTTTTATATGTAAAATTATTATATAATAATTAAATAAACTATTTTATAGGCATTGCAAATATAAAATAGTTTATTCAATTATGTATTAATTCTACATAATATAAAAATTGTATAGTCATCTATATAGTTGCTACCACTATATTTTTTTTGACAATGATTAATGAAAACTATTATTAATTAGAATTACTAGAATTATTATTAAAACTAGAAAATAATTTGAATCAAAACTAAGTAGAAATAGACATAAAATATACATGTGTGTTGTAAAATATACAGGTGTTCTGCGCCGAGTTACCGATATTTCTTCGCGAACACAAGAACGGTATGTATCGCACCGATGTCTACTTCATCTGCAAGACGTTAACAGAAGCGCCGATATTTTTAGCGATACCGATGATCTTCACCGCCATAGTTTATCCTATGATTGGTCTTTATCCAGACGTAAAGCACTTCTTCGTCGCTACTGCTATAGTAGCTCTCGTCGGCAACGTGTCGACTTCATTCGGTAATCGAAAGCTTACGGCATAGGTATATTCAGGATGTTTTTTACGGGGAAGATTTTTATCAATTTTTTTATCACATAGACGAAAACATTTTGTGATAATGAATCGTTTTTTTCGCGGATACTTTAAAGTTTAAATATTTCCTTCTCGTTTCTGATTTCTAATAGAAATTCTAACTAATGGAAGTTATTTACATGGTCATAATGGGCAAAAAATATTTTATATTTTATATGCCAAAAAATATTATTCAGAATCAAAAGTAGAGAGGGAGAATGATATTTTTTTTATAATTAAAAATGAAAAAATAGAAATTTTAGAGCAGTTTAAATCCTTCCAATTCTCCTGGATACGTTTAGATAGAATATATTAATATAGTGTGTTATCTTTTTTTTTTAATAATTATTTAAAGTTTTATTTCTCTTGCAGGCTATTTAATATCTTGTATTAGCAATCGCGTATCTGTGGCGCTCTCCGTTGGTCCCCCAGTTATAATTCCATTTTTACTTTTTGGCGGCTTTTTCCTAAACACAGCGTGAGTATCTCACATTATTTCGAATAACAATGACTGAACAACAATGCTGATTAAAATATCGATTTTTCATGTGTAATAGATCCGTACCATCCTATTTCGTATGGTTTTCATATTTATCTTGGTTTCGTTATGGCAACGAAGCACTTTTGATCAACCAGTGGTCAGAGGTCGATTCTATAGCGTGCACCAGAAGCAATGTGACATGTCCAAAATCGGGACGCATGATTCTCCAAACTTTTAATTTTAAAAAAGAGGACTTTTGGATGGATATTATCTGCTTATTTGTGCTTATCATCGCGTTCCGCTTTCTGGCATTTTTCGCGCTACTATCAAAAACCTTCCGCTCAAAGTAGCCTTATATATATATATATATATATATATATATATCATCAGCAACGATTTAATTCTAATGCTGTGTGTACTTTTAATAAACAATTTTAATAACATTTTTGTATCTTGCACTTGAGTGTCTCCGCCATCAAAAAGATATTCACAATAACTCAATATCACACTTAATATATATATTATTATTTTGAAAAATTACTGCTTAAAATAAAAATTTACATACAACATTTTTACTTAATTTTTCGAAAATTTTCTTGCTATAATATTTTGAGCCGAAAATTTTGAGACATATAAATATTTATACAGCCTGCTTTTGTTGGAAACCATTAATCAAAAATGTTTATTATATATTGTAAAATGAAATTGTATATAGTAGAAATAAATAAAATTTTCTAGATAGCAAGCTGATGTAATTTGTCATTATTTTAACGTTTTTATTAATCATTTTGTATTTATTTGACATCAAAATTTTCTAGATAGCAAACTGATGTAATTTGTCATTATTTTAACGTTTTTATTATCATTTTGTATTTATTTGATATCAAAATGACAATAAATTATGTCAGTTTGCTATCCACATTGTGCATATAATTTAACATATAATATTTTTATTATTTTACTCATCTTATAATAAAATAAAAGATAATATAAAATGTTTGATAGTCCTGCAAATAACATTTTTATAAAATTTTTTACACGAAAAATATTAATGGATATTAGATATTTTTTGTCAAAATAACCATCCTTACATTTAATCAATTTTTTACAATTTTTTACTAATCTAGGAAATATAACCGCAAGTTAATTTTCTGACGGAAAACTTTTTCGTTTATCTTCTAAAATAGTTTACAATTTAGTTTTAGAAAAAAGTTTCTATATGACTGTAATTATTTTTTTTAATTAAACAATGCTACATAAATCACAACTCTAGACTAAAATATAATATTAATGATAAAGTTCATGAAACGTTGGCATTAGCAATAGATTACGACATAAATTGAACTTATATAATTTTTCACTAAAATATTACTTAATTTTATATGTGCAATTTCGAATCTTTTGAGAGAGTCTGCACATTTAGTTGCAAGTTTGGAAATTTACAAACATGATTATTAAGTGTAATTTATGAATGCTGTTGAAAATATCGATGTTGACGCGCGATGACCACAAAAGGCCACGTAATAAGAACTTGGAAAAAATGTGCTTTGACATAACGAAACAACGCGGTACAACTACCACCTACATGCCAGCCGCATTTCCTGTATCGGAGCTGACTCTTTCATTCGCTAGATATTATTACAAACCGGTTATCATACATACCGTGCGACCGCACGTGTGATACAGAGATATGGCAAACAATCTCGGGAGATCTTCAAGTATGTCGTAGAAAAAAAAAAAATAAAAAGTAGAACACCGAGATCTATATAGATGATATATTACTCGCGATATTGCTGTCGGTCCGCGAGTTGAAGATTGTGCCGGGATTGTCGGCATTCGACTGGAAGCAGACAGGGAAGAAATAAGATACAAATGCGAGGAAAAAGACCGTTATCGTCACTGCTAATGTTAAAAAGCAATGTGCGACAATTCCAATAGCGAAATAAGATCAGCCCGAACTGGCCACTCGTCTGTCTCGCTTGACGTACGCGTAGGGTTTCGGTTTTCGATTACCACAAGTCGCCTGAGTCACGAACATTTACTACAATGAGGACGGTATTTTTTTTCAGAAACGGGAGAAAGCCTCGGATGGGTGTCTATGCGCTTACTTTACGCATCCGCGAATCGGCGAACGAACTGTCGATTCGTAAGTGTCAAATTATTGCTACAGCTGTTTAATCATTGTTCGCACGTGCCGACTCTGCAATAATCGCAATAATTTCACGTTTTTAATATTAATAATAATTTAATGTATCGTGATCATTAATATTAATATTTAATGAGAAAAGATAAAATGTGTGTATTCGTATCTCTCTAATATAAGCTTTTTGCGATCGATAAACTTGGACGAGTCTTTCTAATATTGTTGTTATATTGCGTTAGTACACGCGTGATGTTTGGTTGAAAAGAAGAACGAAGAAGGGAAGTGAACACAGGCGAAGTGCATCAGGTGTATCGAGTGGTAGACCAGTTACTCGCGTTGACGAGAAGCAAACGCGACGCCTACAAAAGTTGTGCTTTTATTGTGTCAATATTCATTTCGCGATACATCTTATCGGTTTCTCATCCTTCTACAGTCACGTGTAACGTTCTACAGTTATTTGCATAAATCGTTGTGATTATATCCTGTTGTTATCAGGATTACATCAATATAATAAAGGTAATTTATTTATGCCATATCATGTCTCTTACGAAAATATAGTATAGTCTAAAAATTAGATTTGCAGACACCTTGTGAAAATTTTTCTTAAAATTCTTATACATATTATTTTTAGAATTTTTAGATAAATTTCTTCAGAATTTTTTACAATTTCTATATAATTTTTTTAATTTGTCGGATTTTTTTTTATACAAATCAAAATGCGTACCAGAAATGTTGAGAAAGTCGCTACATCTTTATCGAATTCTAAAATATTCTAAGATTTCTCATTATGTAAAAAATTTCCAAGAAAAAACTTATAAACTCTAGAAAAGTTTAAAAAGTATTTTTTTTTAATCTTCAGAAATTTAATGTATTAAAAATATTATAAGAATTTTTTCACCAAAGCAAGCTAAATTCTATCTTATGAAGACTTATTAAGCTTTGAAGATATTTCTGGTAAAAATTTTTAAAAAAATTTTTCATATAATTTTTTAGAATTTCTATATAAATTTCAAAATTTTTTAAAAATCTATTACTTTTAAAAAATTTCTTGAATAATTTATCAAAAAATTTCTCAGATTTTTTATATGAATTGTAATATATTTTTTTTAATTCTAAGAAAATCTACATCTTTTCGAGAATCTTTATATATACAATTTTGAAATATTCTAAGATTTTGTTTCTGTTAAAAGTTATTTTTATCAAGTTAATAAACAAGTATATCGATTTTTATATATGGTTCTATATATTCTATTTAAATTTTTTATAATTTTAATATCATTTTACATTTTTGACACAATAAAAACACTAATTGCATGAAAATAATAATTTATTCCGTAAAGATAGGCTTTTAACAAAATATATAATACTAAACAACATGTCAAAGTATTGATAAATGTAATATTGATAAAGTATTGATAAATTTAGTAAATTATAGCAACATAAAGAACGGAATCCATAGACGTTGCTCAAGATTCGAGATGGTCTAATGAAATTGAAATGTCTTGAGATTTCAGAAGAACAGACTATGAATTCCGGCCAGTGTTGCTATAAAAGAATTATGTCATCATATTTAATACTGATAATATCATAGAACAAACAGAGAATTTTGGATATATTAAATGTAGTTGAATAATTATTAAGAATATATGACATATCACTATCTACGTATCTTGTTACGATTTTAATCTGACTATATTTGAAATTTTTTTTGTTATCGTGTTTGGAGATCGCTTTTGTAATTATCATAAGATAAAGATGTTTCGAAAATTGCATCTCTCTAAAGAAAACAATTGAGAAAAACCAGATAAAATTTATTCGTTTTGCATTCTCTTACCAAGTTTAGAACGTAATGGATGTTAAGCTTGATGTACCTCGACGTAGAATATATCAAGAAGGAACGATGCTTTCTTGGCAAAACTTATCTATTTATGCGATGGACCAGAACCGACGCACCATAAGCAAACAGCTCATCAACAACGGTATTTAAACAAAATATATTATTTCATATGTAACATAAAATGAAACGGTGATGGCACTTTCAGTTCGAGGTGTGGTACGGCCTGGCGAACTTACTGCGATCTTAGGCGGCAGGTAAGTTATCCATAATCACTGCACAATTAATACATAGATTAATTAATGTTCGTAATCAAATTAATAAATAATAAAACTAGGTCAATACATTAAACAAGCTATACTTAGGTATACTAAACAATATTTATTAATCACAAATTATAATTTTCCAACGATAAGTTTCAACGATACATTTCGACTATACTTAGTCCTCATCAGCCGCAGAAATACATAAATAATTATATTATCCAAATATAATTATATTAACATATTATAAGGATCATCTCACATTCAAGTTACGATAAATAATATAACAGATTTCTAAAAATCATCTTACCTTCGTGTTACAAAGGATGGTATATCGCAACCATATCATATGTAGTCAAATTTGATAAAAATAAATGATATAGTGAAGAGTCATGATTCCGAATCAATCGGTTAATAGCGAGAAAGGGTAGGCAGTATAAATAAATGAATAAATTTCTGTTATATTAATGATGTAGCTTGAATCAAATCATATAAAAGGTTGTATGTACGTCCTTAATAAAATATTGGTAGATAAACTAAATAAAATAAATTATCGTCAAAATTGACTATAAAGACATTAAACAGTTTGTAACTTAAAAACTATTTTTAACACTTAAAAATATATGGTAAATCGATAATAAATTATAACTTTATGTACGTGTATATATAAAAATTTCATTAGAACAAAAGTACACCGCGAAACATAAATAACAAACACTTTAAATTTATAATGTCAATTAACAAAATTAAATAATTATCAAGAAATAAAGAATAAAGGTTATGTAACATTTATATTAATATGAAGGTAAATACAAATTATATATAATGGCAAGTTAATATTAATTTTCAAAGCAGAGAGAGACGTGCTATTGCATTATTCAATCCTTATTTTATATTTAATGAACGATAATATAAAATTAGACATAATAGCGCTTATAATGCTTTCATCGAATGTAGCCCAAGAATATCATGTGTCCCTAATTTAATTTTTACACAAAATAACAAAAAATTGTACTATCAAGAAAATTTCATTTAAACCATGTTTCAATATATGTAGTAATATTAAAAATCTATATTAGAGGAAACCAGAGGGAGGAGGAGAGAGGGGAGAAAGGGAGGAACAAATATAACACGGGACAAAAGTAACAAATGTTATAAAAAAAATACCAATTGACCAATAATTGTCACTTTCCATCTTTATACTCTTCCATCAATCATATTCTTCCTTCAGTTATTGAATATATAATACGTATAAACAAGCGATTCTTTTAATTCTATTGTTTTACTGAAATATTACATTGAAAAATAA